AAAATCGATTACTAAAAGCGTTGGCAACGAATTGCGTCATCGATTCGTTGTGTCGCACAACTCTTCCAAAAGCGCCCCCCCCCCCTCCCCCTTCCCGCCCGCCGTTGCGCGCAGACAGATCAGCGCGAGGGAGAGCCGGCAGTTGTTTGGAAGAGGAACATGGCAGAAGCAGCGAGAGTCAAAAAAGTTAAAGCTTTTTAAGTTTGGGAGCATTTTCAGTTAAATCAGGCGAAGACATGCGTTACCTGCAACGTTTAGGTCAGACTTAGCATGGCACAGGATGATGCAGCGTCTTAAACGCAAGCATGTCGGGATCATCAGCGAGGAAGGAGAGAACTCTGTGTCCGGGTAAATTAAAAACTTTTCAAAAGTGATTCATCCAAGTCCCGGATTATTACACAGGCTAGACATGCCCTAAGCTCGTAAAACAAGAGTCTAAAGTCGTGAGCGCGACGCTTATTAGATGAGCGCGGGGGGGGGGGACTCGCGCTGCTGCGAACCGGTTCCGCCCAAGGCCGGATTAACTGGGCAATTGCCCAGGGCCCACGAACTCTAAAGGGCCCAGGGCACGAGCAAAATACTGTATCTATAATTTCCCGCTTTATGAGGACTATGGTGACCGTACGTTCCGTTTTCCCCGGACATGTCCACTTTTCACTCTCTGTCCGGGCGTCCGGACTGCGGGTTCTTGTATTGATGAAAATGTCCGGCTTTTCATCCAGGAGCAGGGATTGAATTATGGGGGAGCTGTATATCCTACACATCCAGGGGAACCGGAAAAAAGTTTTCTATATTATATCATTTTTGGACTCTTTTGAGCAGAGAGCGGCACAGCGCATTGTTGCGCAACGATCCAGGCAGCTGCGTCCAGCGCACGGTCCATTCTCAAAGTGGCGCAACCAAAAAATTATAATTAGCACACGATCGTTCATGTCTGCACATGTTCTCTATTTCCTGTCTTATTTGTGCCTGAAGCGCTCTGCTACTGCAGAGCTCATCACCTGTGCTGCGGTGATGTCACCTCACTGACGCAGCATCGAAAACGCGCTCTGCGCTTTGCGGTCAGGAGATCCCTTTGATCTGCTCAAAAGTAACTGATGAGGTGAAAAAGTAAGAATCCAGGCAGCAGATTTTCTGGAGAATTAAGAGGAGATGCAGGAAGATGAGACAGACAGGACAGGAAAATAGTTCAATAAAACAAGAAAACAAAACAAAGTGTTGAAAAGTAAAATGTAGGTAGATTTATCACCACTACACGTTTTTACCTATAAAACAATAAGTTACACACATGTAATATTTATACATCTGATACAATTCAGATCACCTTCAACACTCAGTCACACATCCAGGGCCGTTTCAAGACATTTTGGGGACCAAGGCAAAATGCCCCCCCCCCCCCCCCCCCCCCCATAACTGGGCTCCCCAGAAGCCTCTGTGTAATTCATGCCCTCTCCAGTAGTGTTAGTTATACAGTGTTTATAAAAGCCCCTCAGGCATTACTGACATGTTCTAATATTATCAGATGAAAAACTAAACTATCAGACACGCTGTCTCATCTGCTGCTTTTCTAAACTTGCAAAAAGTAACAAAACCATTTGAAAGCCACTATTTGTGGATTCTCTGAAAGTTTCCATGGAGTGTGTGACAACTTGTTTTTTCAGTAATTTTTGGAAATAGTGATTAATTTTGATTAATTCACAGCCTATGTTTAATTACATTTAAAATGAGTTGTTTGACATCCCCAGTTATAATAAATGTCTACAGATGAGATCAAACAAAACAGATGAGAATTGCCCTTAAGCTGTTTAATTGGACCAAGCATTTTAGGTCACAGATAGATGTAGCTTAGGGTCTCTGTCTATACACCTTATAAGACAATTTAGGTGATGGCATGTTGTTTTTCTGCTATTGAACTGTTTTCTAATAATGTTGTGTTTAATAAAGCAAATGAAGGAGAGAAATAACATTTCCCTAGCAGTTTTTAAAAATTTCCCCATGTAATCCGATTAATCGATTAATCGTGTCAAGACCCCATCCGATTAATCGATTATCCAAATAATCGTTTGTTGCAGCCCTAAATGGATGTTAGCTCCAGTTAGCTGGATGTTAGCTCAAGTTAGCTGTATGTTAGCGCCTGTTCGCTGGATGTTAGCTCCAGTTAGCTGGATGTTAGCTCCAGTTAGCTAGATGTTTGTGCCTGTCAGCTGGATGTTAGTGCCTGTTAGCTGGATTTTAGTGCCTGTTAGCTGGATGTTAATGCCTGTTAGCGCCTGTTAGCTGGATGTTAGCGCCTGTTAGCTGGATGTTAGTGCCTGTTAGCTGGATGTTAATGCCTGTTAGCTGGATGTTAATGCCTGTTAGCTGGATGTTAATGCCTGTTAGCTGGATGTTAGTGCCTGTTAGCGCCTGTTAGCTGGATTTTAGTTCCAGTTAGCTGGATGTTGGTGCCCGTTAGCTGGATGTTAGTGCCTGTTAGCTGGATGTTAGCTCCAGTTAGCTAGATGTTTGTGCCTGTTAGCTGGATGTTAATGCCTGTTAGCTGGATGTTAGTGCCTGTTAGCGCCTCTTAGCTGGATTTTAGTTCAAGTTAGCTGGATGTTGGTGCCCGTTAGCTGGATGTTAGTGCCTGTTAGCTGGATGTTAGCTCCTGTTAGCTAGATGTTTGTGCCTGTTAGCTGGATGTTAATGCCTGTTAGCTGGATGTTAGTGCCTGTTAGCTGGATTTTAGTTCCAGTTAGCTGGATGTTGGTGCCCGTTAGCTGGATGTTAGTGCCTGTTAGCTGGATGTTAGCGCCTGTTAGCTAGATGTTTGTGCCTGTTAGCTGGATGTTAATGCCTGTTAGCTGGATGTTAATGCCTGTTAGCTGGATGTTAATGCCTGTTAGCTGGATGTTAGTGCCTGTTAGCTGGATTTTAGTTCCAGTTAGCTGGATGTTGGTGCCTGTCAGTTTGGATGTTAGCACCAGTTGGCTTGATGTTAGCTCCAGTTAGCTGGACGTTAGCTGGATGTTAGCACCTGTTAGCTGAATTTGAGCTCCAGTTAGCTGGATGTTAGCTCCTGTTAACTGGATGTTAGCATAGGGCTGGACAATAATTCATTAATAATATATATTTATTGATGTTTCGATGACGTGTGGTGGGAAAAAATGTTGATGGCTGGCTGCGTCCTTCATATCAGACGTCTCCCAAAGCAGCACTGCTCACTCCTGCTTTTGTTTTGTTTCTGATAATCTGAAGACTAATTGGGTCAGTTTGGTTTCAGAAGCTGAACTTGATGGGATATAAAACCTGAAAGCAGCCTGCTGCGAATGGACCAGGATGAGGAAAACCAGATTATGTTGGGTTTGGTTTCACTCATCTGATAAAAGACTCCAGTCTTAAGTGCCTCTCTGAGTCAGACGGGGGAGGGGCTGCCTCTACATCAGCACCACCATACCCTTTGAACACCACCAGCAGGCAAGGAGAGTGAAGTGGCTTGCCCAACTGCACAACTGACTGGGCTCAAACCGGCAACCTACCATTTACAGGGCGAAGCTGCTCTTCTTCTCAGGATGGTGGAAGTTTCACTTCCTGTTTCTGGAGTCCAGTTAAAAACAAACCAGCGTTTCATCTGGGAGCGTTTTGGTTTTATTATTTAAAAACTAATGTGATTGTTTTTCAGAAGTCTTTATTCCTTCCAGTTTCTACTGGATGGGTGTGTGTGTGTGTGTGTGTGTGTGTGTGTGTGTTTGTGCGTGAGTGCGTTCATTTTAACTGTGTGTGTGTGTGTGTGTGTGTGTGTGTGTGTGTGTGTGTGTGTGTGTTTGTGCGTGCGTGCGTTCATTTTAACTGTGTGTGTGTGTGTGTGTGCATTCATTTTAACTGTGTGTGTGGGAGTTTTCCTCTCCACTGTCGCTGCATGCTTGCTTAGTATGAGGATTGCTGTAAAGACTCTGACACTAGTCAGTGACTCGATGCGACCTGCTGGGTTCCTTATATAGGAAACTTGTTACTGATTGGCTTAATGACCTGACCTGTAGTGTTTACTGTGTGCAGGTCCTTGACACGACTCTGGTCCTGACTTGGTGCTTTATTAATAAACTGAACCAAACAGACATTATGGACCACCAGCATACCTGTCTAGCCTCCTGTTTAGGGTGGGAAACTTGTGTGTTTTTGGGAAGCACCAGTAAACCTGCAGTCTAAGAGCCAAGGTCTCGGTTAGGATATGGATTAATCATGACCTTCATGGTCAAAGCTGCGAGTTTTCACGTTTTATTTTAATGCATTAGCACTAATCTAAAAAGCCTTTTTCACATTGTCATTATGGGATGTGTGTGTAGAAATTAGAGCAAAAACATGAATTTCACCAGTTTCACCAGTGTTTTAGCAAGGCTGTAACAGGACATGGACAAGGTGATGCTAGGATCAGGAGCGTTAGGAACCTGGTCTTTAAAGGTGTGAATGATACCTCAATCCTAAACCCTTTATTGGTTGTCTGACGGGGATTATTTGTGTCACATCGACACCTGCTGGCCAGACACCTGAACTGATCTGGTTTTAATTCTTCTCTGTTTTCCTTCAGCAGCTTCAGCTGAATCGTGACTCCAGTCACTAAAGTTTGTTTTTGTTTGTTTCAGAAGGAGCTGAGTCTTCCCAGGAGAGGGAGTTTGTGAGTATCTCTGGTGTGTGTGTGTGTGTGTGTGTGTGTGTGTGTGTGTGTGTGTGTGTTTGTGTTTGCTTGTGTGTGTGTGTGTGTGTGTGTGTGTGTGTGTGTGTGTGTGTGTGTGTGTGTGTTTGTGTTTGCTTGTGTGTGTGTGTTTGTGTGTGTGTGTGTGTGTGTGTGTGTGTTTGTGTTTGCTTGTGTGTGTGTGTGTTTGTGTTTGCTTGTGTGTGTGTGTGTGTGTGTGTGTGTGTGTGTGTGTGTGTGTGTGTGTGTGTTTGTGTTTGCTTGTGTGTGTGTGTGTTTGTGTTTGCTTGTGTGTGTGTGTGTGTGTGTGTGTGTGTGTGTGTGTGTGTGTGTGTGTGTGTGTGTGTGTGTGTGTGTGTGTGTGCGTGCGTGTGTGAAATCTGAATCAGGCTGTGCTGAGTCGGCTCCAACTCTGGGTTCGCGGCTGAAGGCCAGTGGGTCCGTTTGTGGTTCTGAGAGCTTTACAGAACAGCTGAGCATCCCACCTTCAGCCCGTTTGGCTCTATTTATATCTGAGTTTGTGTGTCGATGCTGAGCCGCTAGCCTGCTCTTTGTGTTTGAATTGTCTCTCCGTGGGGAGTTTTTGTGTTATAGGTTCTGGTTCCGTCTCGTTGGCGGCCCGGTAACCACCATATCAGAACAGCTGTGAGTGCGTGTGTTCCACTTGATGCGTGAGCCGCTCCTGGCTTCTCAGAAACCAGAACAGACAGCTGCAACCTGCCTGGAGGTGTCTGGTTTTAGATGGATAAGTCTGCCTTCTTCCAGTTTATTATTACTCTTATTAAATGTGATTAATCCCAGATTACAAATGTCTAACGTGACATTTTCACGTTTCTTATCAGCCACAGGAGCAGACGAATATTTCACCTTTATGTTTCTGATTGCAACCATCCAAAGCAACACAAATACTGAGCAGAGCCGTCCACACACACACACACACCCTCTCTAGGGTGAATATTTATAAGTAATAAAAGCTTTATTTGCAGACCAAAGCTACAGTAATTCCTTTAAAGCTATAGTTTCATTTAAAAAAATAACATTTATTTAGACGGGCACAACACTGGGTTTATGTTTACATCTACCAGCCACTAGAGGGCACCATTGCAGGTTGCCAAACAGTCCCCTGGGCTCAGCAAGGCTGGTACTGTGGAAAATGGCTGACTCGTCTGCTTCTGAGCTGAGAAGATGTTACTCTTCTCAGAAGAGGAGCGACCATAAAAGATCTAAAACCAGAGTGAGTTTAGGTGAAGCCTACAGCTGATGGACCCAGATAAAACGTTTCACGTATCGGCAGTGAACCTGGTGTCCTGCCAGCTGGAACCGTGTTCTGGTGTTGCAGCTACAACCTCCACTCACTAGATGTCGCTGTGGTGTTCATGTTCCACCTTCAATGAATGTTTTTTATTACTGATGAGATCAGGGATTCAAGAAGAATAAAACACCCAAAAGCGGAAGTTCCTATGTGGAAGGTAACAGCAATCCCTGGTGGTCAGGATTAAAAACACAGTCGTCAGAAATATTCCTTTGGACAGACACACACACACGCACGCACGCACGCACGCACGCACACACACACACACACACACACACACACCTGTATTTGTATCCTTGTGTGGACCCATTCATTTTAGTGACTCCACTAAACCAACCATAACTAACCTAAACACCAAACCTCTAAAACCACGTAGTAGGTTTGTCTGCTCTGTGTGGACCAGCCATGTCCCCACCAGGTGGAAATGTCCACACACTACAGATTAAAGTCAACATGTGTCCATAGGGCTGAGCGATAAATCGAAAATGTATCGTTCTCGGAAATCTGACTTTTATCAAGATAATCTTTCCCATGCCAATAAATTTGGTAATACAAAAGGAAAAGATGTGTGTAGGCTGGCAGCGTTCGTGTCCCTTTAAGAAGCTGTACCACCTTGAGTCACGTGAAAATGTGCCTCAACTTAATACCATCGACCCGGTCGAACTAGCTACAAGCTAATCCTGGCTAACCCAAAGCTAACGCGGAGGTGGAGCTAAGCTAACGGAGGTAGCAACCTAGCTACAACCGGAGTTAACTGTGCACAACACCAGAGCTTCTGAGTCAGAGATACGCCGGGCTGACCGCTGGGGAGAACCGGGTGGGGAGAAATTATGACACGTCTCTAAATAAAGTAAAATTTTCCAGTGCAGATTGGAGACGACCCATAGAAGCACTGATTTGATCTCATTTCAGAGAAAAATAGAAAAGGTTAGATGCACCTAATAAATAAAATCACTAACAAACTCAGGAATCTCTCTTTGCTTCACTGTTCTGGTGCTGAGAACATCACTAATGCGGATCAAAGGAGATGCACAGATGAATGCACCTCTTATTTATAATTTGGAGACTACATTTACTGCAGCTGGCAGAGGCAGAGATTGTTTCTATTGATACACGGATTTACAGAATCATTTTAAATGTTAATAGGGGAAGACTGCAGGAGGGAGCGGTAAAATACAGGGGGTCCCCAGCAAAAACAAGAACCTACAAGTCTGATGAAACCTGCTGGTTTTCCATCAGGCAGTCACGGGGCAGCTCCAACGACCCAGTGGCTGTGCTGGGTCAATGTTATCGAGCTCAGTCCGGCTCGGCTGTGAACGAGCCGAGGCGACGTCGTGCTCTGCTTAAGAAGAAGTGTTATTTTCCCGCTTCAGAAGAAGCGTTTAACGTGTTTTTACGCTTTCTCCGACACATGTCACGTCGCTAAGTTGTTAGCGCCGCGCGATAACACGTCAATAGTGCAGCGTAGCCTGCTGGAGGTTTTAAGGGTTCAGATGAAACACCCGACCTCTCAGGCTGCTCACGCATCGATCTTAAGTTGTCGCTGTTGCGCTCACGCCGTAATACAGTATTAGATGCGGTTAAAGTCAGACATGAAAGAATAAATACATTTTACATGAATAAGTGATGCTTAGCCTGGTGGGGGGAGGAGAACCTGGCCTAATAAGCACTGGAGGAAACCCTGTCAAGATCGTCAACACTCATTTATCTTACTGCTATTGAAACATGTAAACCACAAAGCATTATATCCACTGCTACCTTTCTAATTTTAGACTCAGTAACTTATGCTGTAACTTCACCTTGGCCTGCCTGCCGGCTGTGATCACAAGCGACAACATAGTAGTTCCCGCTGCTTCTTCGGGAAACAGCGCAAAAAAAAAAAAACGATCTTGTATGCGCGGCGGTGGGATTTCAGCTGTGGCGGGCCGCCACGGCTACGCCTATGTAAGGGAAACCCTGTAATTTTACTTACCGAAAAAAAATGAAGTGGAGACTCCTTGGACGCTCTATTAGTGCAATTAATGCCACAGCAAGTCATTTTGTCCAACAATTGCACAAATAATATCCAACAAAGAATACACACACAGAGACTCAGAATCCCGGAGCAGTTTCCAGGCCAGACCGAGGCTCTACTGAGGCCTTTCCATGGAGCTAGCTCTGTGGTCACGTGGGTCTGATGCTCATTAATTATACAGAATTTTAGGCTTTTAATACACTTAAACAGAAGAGTGAGAAAAACATTCACCCCCCTCAGAGTTGTCATGAGTGTAAACTAGATCATTTAAACCAAAAACATGTTCTGGTACCAGGCTGTAAACATGTTTATTTCTGCTGTGAAATTGGTATTTTTAACATGGGAGTCAATGAGGATTTGCTCGCTTCTGACACCAGCCCCTAGTGGATGAGGGTGGAACTGCAATTTATTTCATTTCCGGGTTTGCCTCAATTTTCGAGCTGTGTTGTGGGGGCTTGCGTAATACACGTGACAGCCCCCTCTAGTGGACAGCTGTTGTTTCTGCGCATACCTGTAGTTATCATCCGTTTATCGTTATCGAGGTGAAATCCTCCATATATAGTGATATTGATTTTAAGCCATATCGCCCAGTCCTAACCTGACCACACACACTCAGTTCCCACTCAGACTGGTTTTACTAGAACTGGAAGAGGGAGGGGGTGTTACCCAAAGAAGGTGCTCTGTTCCTGAGGATGGGCTGGCAGGAGAGACAGAACAAGAACCAGGAACCGGACCGAGGCCAGCTCCACTTCAGTCCGGGATCTGATGGATCTGGAATCGTCTGTCTGAGTGTTGGATTGTTTTATCCAGTCGAGGGATTTAGTGTGTGTGTGTCAGGGTGTCCGCGGGGTTTTAAAAAGTATTAAAAAGTGATAAATAAAAATAGTCAAATTTAAGGCCATTAAAAGTGTTAAATTTGGTCTCAGAGGTATTATTTTTTCCAAATTAGGTATTATTTTTTTTCAGACTATCAGATGTCGTATTCTGAACATCGACATAGAAATATATTCCGAATGAAATGTTTTGAACGATTATAAAAACAAAACAAGCCGATTATTTGCTCCTCCCACTTGCGCTGTCTTGAGTTGCAAATGAAGCGCTCCTCCCAGTGTTGCCAAGTTAACTTGGCGACTTTGACGCTATTTCTAACAGCTTCTCAGACCCCCTTCTTGACTTTTTAAATCTTAAAAGTACCTAGCGAACACCTCAGAAACATCTCTGGTAACCCTTAGCTACTTTCTGGATAACTGTCGTCGACATTTCCTGCAGGTTAGCTAAACACTCCGCCTGCGCTCCGGACCGTTCTTCAGGACATTAGGAAAGGGAATGATGTAGTGATGTGTCAGTCGCTAAAGAAACGGCTCTCGGAGCCGGCTCCCTGTTGGAGTAACCAGAGTGAGTGACACACACCGTACCTGCGGACTCCTGAGCCGCTAAAAACGGCTAAATGTGCGCGTGCGGCGTGCTAAACACACGTGCAGCTTGCCACTGATTGCTGTGAGACCGGGTTGGGGGGTGGGGGTGCAGCTGTGATTGGGACAATTATTACATTAACTGATGGACTTGTAAATAAATAGTTTATAAATAAGTTAGAAATAAGTTCCTCACGCTGATAAATAATAACTAATCTCTCTGAGGACATGGTGCTAGTGCACTCTCCTACAGCACCTTGACACGACTCAATAAATGTTATGCAACATTTAGTGAACAGCAATTTGCATGTATTTGTTATAAATGCCACTGTATAATTCTTGCTGTCAGTATTTGCAAGATATTGGTATTTGGGTCTGTACTGGTTAGACTTAAATGAGTTAAACCAAGGTCTACAGCCCTTGGGTCATAAACTATGAGCTATAAGTATATTGGTCTTTTTATACTGGGAATCAGGAGTTATTTTAGTGATCATCTTGTTTCTTGTTTATTTTTGCCCTGATTGTGCCCTGAGCAGTTTTATGACTGAATAAAAATAAAAAAATAAAAATCTACATAAATTGAAAAATCGTCTTAAATAATCGAGAACTCAATTTCAGTCACAATAATCGTGATTATTGTTTTCGCCATATTCGAGCAGCCCTACTTTAGCATATCCGGTCACATAATGATGACGTCATATTCAGTGGTCGTTGTGCATCATTTCAGGCCTTGTGGTCAACTGTCTGAACTGCTGAAAAGAAGTGCCTGGCTTATTTTCTAAGTAAAATAAATATGTGCAATATGTTGTCAACATCAGTGAGTCTCTAAGTCTATTCTTTTTGTATGTTATATATGTTAAAATATGTGTAAATAGGTCGCTGATTAACACTTGCAATTTAGTGTTGTGATGGTTTCAAAAAAATTCTGAAGGTAGTAAAAAAAAGTATTAAAAAGTAGTAAATTTTACTTAAGGATTGCTGTATATACCCTGGTGTGTGTGTGTGTGTGTGTGTGTGTGTGTGTGTGTGTGTGTGTGTGTGTGAGTGAGAACTTTCCATTTTACCGGTCGAGTCTTTTCTGTTTGTCATTGTTTGTGGTTCGACAGACTGAGAATACCAGACATATCTGAGTGTGTGTAGAGATAAGGCTGATGACATCACACACACGCTCCATGCCATTTCTGACTCACAGCAGCACCATGACCCAAAAGAGTTCTGTTGGGAAAGACAGATGAGCGGATGGATTATTACAGATTACACCTCAGCCTTTTGTCCTAGAACAGGAGATGAAGAGGAGGAAGGAGCGTTCAGGAGCCACTCACCTTCGTCTCCAGTAAGAGTGTGTGTGTTTGTACGTGAGGCAGTTCAGATTATCACGTCTGCATGTTTAGTTTTTGAATATTCACAGTGAAGATGTTCACGTTTGTTCTGGAAAAGTCAGATGAGATCAGATGAATGAATTAAATCTGCATCAGTGTGTAAAAACATCTGATTTTATAATCCGAATAAGTTTTCATGCTGGAAAACTGAGCTTTAAAGTATGTAAAGTAGGTTTTAGCAGATGTGCTTGGTGCCTGAACAAGTAGTAAAGTACTAACTAGTACCATCTAAGCTGTTAGTTTAACCCCTTTATTGAATAGAACCTGTAACTGCTTATGGAGACTACTAACCAGTACCAACTAAGCTGTTTAACATTTTTTAAATAGGACCTGTAACTGTACATAGGTACTACTAACTAGTACTAACTAGGCTGTTAGTTTAGGGATGTGAATTTTAGAGCAACTCACGATTTGATTTGATTTCGATTCTCTGGGCGTCGATTTGATTCAGAATCGATTCTCGATTTAAATCGATTCACAATCAATGCTAACAAAGAGTGTCAGTTCCAGGATGAACTACTTTGTTATACAAGTTAGTTAAAGCTACGGGACATTTTTATTAGACTTTAAACTGGTCATGCTCAAAAATGCTAATTTACAAGGTAAAATAAAGTGATTCTAAAACTGTAAACAGAAACAATCTTTTGACCAAAAGGCAACATTTATTTTTGCTTACCTTGTAAAATATAACAAATCTGTAGTTACCTAACAGTAGCTTTGAAAGTAATACGGTCAAATACTTTTCAAGTATGTGTAGAAACAAGTTTAACATTTGAGTCCTCAACCTGTTTTAAAAAAGTGCCTCAGATTTCTTACAAAGGAAAATGTGTTCTCTCAGTTATCAATAACTTCAAATAAATACATAAGTAATCCTGAGTACTCACTTATCAACTTGGAAAATAAATACATGAGTAATCCTGAGTACTCACTTGTCGACTGAGAAAATAAATACACGAGTAATCCTGAGTACTTGCTTATCGACTGAGAAAGTAAATACACGAGTAATCCTGAGTACTCGCTTATCGACTGAGAAAGTAAATACACGAGTAATCCTGAGTACTCGCTTATCGACTGAGAAAGTAAATACACGAGTAATCCTGAGTACTCGCTTATCGACTGAGAAAGTAAATACACGAGTAATCCTGAGTACTCGCTTATCGACTGAGAAAGTAAATACACGAGTAATCCTGAGTACTCGCTTATCGACTGAGAAAGTAAATACACGAGTAATCCTGAGTACTCGCTTATCGACTGAGAAAGTAAATACACGAGTAATCCTGAGTACTCGCTTATCGACTGAGAAAGTAAATACACGAGTAATCCTGAGTACTCGCTTATCGACTGAGAAAGTAAATTCACGAGTAATCCTGAGTACTCGCTTATCGACTGAGAAAGTAAATACACGAGTAATCCTGAGTACTCGCTTATCGACTGAGAAAGTAAATACACGAGTAATCCTGAGTACTCGCTTATCGACTGAGAAAGTAAATTCACGAGTAATCCTGAGTACTCGCTTATCGACTGAGAAAGTAAATACACGAGTAATCCTGAGTACTCGCTTATCGACTGAGAAAGTAAATACACGAGTAATCCTGAGTACTCGCTTATCGACTGAGAAAGTAAATACACGAGTAATCCTGAGTACTCGCTTATCGACTGAGAAAGTAAATACACGAGTAATCCTGAGTACTCGCTTATCGACTGAGAAAATAAATACACGAGTAATCCTGAGTACTCGCTTATCGACTGAGAAAGTAAATACACGAGTAATCCTGAGTACTCACTTATCAATTTAGAAAATCATCATGATAATATCTCACATTAATGAGTATGGGGGGAAAATGACATTCAAGTGCCCTCTTATCAGCAGATTCAAACATAAATCATCTCAGTTTATGGGACCATAAAAGTAAACGGAGTACTGACTCTCCTAACAAAGACGAAAAAACAGACAAAAGTGTGTCTCAAACCTGTAACATGCCAAACATTTGAGTTCCTGGAATCGATTCTGAATCTTTGTGAATCGATTCTGAATCTTTATAAATAAGAATCCCGATTCAGACTTGAATCGATTTTTTTCAGCACCTCTACTAACTACCCCTTTCTTTTAAGTAGGACCTGTAACTGTGCATAAGTACTACTAACTAGTACTAACTAGGCTGTTAGCTCAACCCCTTTAAGTCGGACCTGTAACTGACAGAGGCGAGGCTGGAATCTCCACCGGTTATCTTCAGGACAACTGAGCAGGTGTTTGTAGATCAGCTGCGTAGATAAGATGTACAGACGGTCCTCAGATTGTCATCAGATGGGCGGCCATGGCTGTTATCACCACGTAGAGCTGGTGTAGTGCCTTTCTGCTCCTTAAAGCTCTTTACCCTACAGCCACCCACATGCTGGTGGTGATGATGATGATGATGATGAGACGATCATATTAACCTGGGACACACCTACAGAACCAACGGCCAACATGGCCACCACCAGCAGGGGGTGGGTGGGTGAAGTGTCTGGCCCAAGGACACGGTGGCTGACTGAAGGAGCCTGGGTTCAGCCCGCTGGTTAGAGAGTGAACTCCTGAGCCTCACACACGACCTCTGATTCAAAGCTGTGGAGCAGGTTGGAATGGGTGGAGAAACGTGCCAGGTGTGGTAAAAGGGTTTCACGTGTAGAGTACCCTGGTGAGTAGGGCTGGACAATAATATCTATCGATAGACGAGTGGTGCAATAAAACAAATGGGTCGATTAAAACTTTGATAAATTATACATTCCTTCATCATTACAGCCTATCAGGTGGCTTAATACTAGACTCCCAACCAATCAGCAACACAGATCCCAGCACGCTGCGTCACCAAGTCCCCCCCCATGTAACCTAACCGACAGCACGTGACTTAAACAAGACGTCGCAGAAGGGAGAGGCAGAGGAAATTCTCCAAAAACAATATTTCCGTTTTTACAAGTCGTTAGCTAAAATAATTGTGGGAGCTGAACCCAGTTGTTTCGGTTATTTTCCGTTTTCTTCCCTTTCCTATCGCTGTTACAGCGATACTAACAACGGCGGAGGCTGTCTGTCTGCTGAAGACTTTCTGTCTCTGGACCAGCACCGTGGGTGAGTGATGAACAGGGTTACCGTAATGACACTAGGTGAACTTGAAAGCACAGCTTCTCTCATAAAAAACCGTTTGAATTATTCTGAATGCACAGACCATAAAGGTTTTGAAATTTCTGCCTATGTATTAAAAAATACAACTGAAATATCACATGCTCCTAAGTATTCAGGCCCTTTTCTCAGTATTTAGTAGAAGCACCTAGTGAGCTTGCACAGCCATGAGTCTTCTTGGTAAAGATGCAACAAGTTTCTTACTCCTGGATTTGGGGATCCTCTGGCATTCCTCCTTGCAGATCCTCTCCAGGTCTGTCAGGATGGGTGGTGAATGTTGGTGGACAGCCATGTTTAGGTCTCTCCAGAGATGCTCACTGGGGTTTAAGTCAGGTCTCTGGCTGGGCCATTCAAGAACAGCCACAGAGTTGGTGTGAAGCCGCTCCTTTTTTACTGTAGCTGTGTGTTTAGGGTCGTTGTCATGCTGGAAAGTACACCTTCAGCCCAGTCTGAGGTCCTGAGCCCTCTGGAGAAGGTTCTTGTCCAGGGTATCCCTGTACTCAGCCACATTCATCATTCCCTTGATTGCAACCAGTCTTCCTGTCCCTGCAGCTGACAAACACCCCCTCAGCATGATGCTGCCACTACCATGCTTCACTGTGGGGATTGTTGGATAAGTGGTGAGCAGTGTCTGGTTTTCTCCACACATACCACTTAGAATTAATGTCAAAAAGTTATGTCTGGGTCTCATCAAACCAGAGAATCTAATTTCTCACCATCGTGGACTTCAGGTGTCTTAGCAAACTCCAAGCAGGGTTTCATGTGTCCTCTGAGCAGAGGCTGTGGAATGCTTAGCTGGAGTAGATGAAAAGTGTCCTTACACAGTTCCCCTGATGTTCCAGGTGACTGGAGTTCCTGTGGTTCCAGTTCTTTTGAGCTGAACCAAAAGTCACTGAGAAGTTTTTTCTCCTACATCCTGAACGTTGTTCAGATGTTATGTGAATTTTGTGAATTGTTGAATGTGTGTCCAGTAGCCCTTGGCTATCACCCGTCACACATTGCACCTAACCCCTTTGGCCCCTCCAACAAGTGGTGTGCCCATGGGAAGTACTGCTGGTCCTCCACATCGAGAAGATCAAGTTGAGGTGGCTCGGGTATCTGATTAGAATGCCTCCTGGACACCTCCATGGTGAGGTTTTCTGGGCACGTCCAACTGGGAGGAGACTAGGGATGGGTACCTTTGACATTTGAATAGATTTGGTACTAATTCCCGGTACCTAGGAATCAATACCGGTACTTAACGGTACCAATTTTCGATACTTGAGTGTTTAATATTTTAATTCTCTTTTATAATTAAATATATATTTTTCTCAATATATAACCATATTTTATAAATATCACGATAAATAACATACAAGTTTGTATTTTAACATCGTCCTTGTAGTTTTATAAGCTGATAATTAAACTGAAGCAAACATCTTTACTGTGAACTACATTTACTGTGTATCTTCATTCCTTTTGCCATTTGATAATTTCCGAGGAGAAAGCAAACGCACCATTAGCTGATAACAATGGTGGCAATGGAAGCTAATTTATCAAGCTAACGTTATCTTAAACAGTTTATTTATCTGATGCGTTTCAGCTAGCATCTACAGAATTTCTGGAAATCTACAGGAGGAAAGACAGACCGTGGTTGGGAGGGAGGGGGTTGGGTGTGTGTGTGGGGGGGGGGGAGTAGATGAGGTTGATATTTCTGATTTTATTCTGAAAGAACGATAGAAAGTTGTTACGGTCAGACCTCGAGTAAACATGCATAAGAGGAGCGTGAGGAGAAACAATCTGGTTTATGGTGTCAAACAGGACTTTAGTTATTTTTGTTTACAGCAATCAGCTGAGCGGAGTAAGTGGTCCTGGAAGTTTTCACCCTCTCACTCAGAGATGCTATCAGTTCTTTACAGTGCAGCCCGTGACTTTCTAATCTAGTCGACTTCCAGCGTCTCTCGGCTCTGCTGCGTGTCCTTCTGAGACTCTAAATGTTCTGATTAATCCAAGGACTTGTCCTCCTGTTAGATAAAACGATCTGCTTAATGGGAGCTACTTTATCTAAGATATGCAGCATTGTTTTCTCAAAGATTGGATAAACAGGCTTGGATCATCACCCTGAACTGAGCTGCTGTCAAATAATCTAGAAATCCATCCACTGCTGACTAATTAATGATACGTCTCTTTTAGTTTGTGAGTGATCGATCGGACATTAAAGAAAATGCAGCTGTGGTCACGCACAAGGAGAAAACAAGATCAACAGTGTGTCTCATTTAGTGTGTGTGGCCTGAAACGTGCTGCTCTAAGTTTAAATACTCTGTTAGAGACATGAACTCCACTGCTGTGCTACAAGTAGGATCATTTAGCATGAAGGCTAGACTTTGTCTGACCTGCCAAAAAGAGGAGGTGTTTCTCTTTTAAGGGTTTGTTGTTTATAAGTTTTGGACCAACCAGTTTGGTGTATTTAAGATCTGAAATAAGGCATTTCAAGAACGAACAGTTATGTTAATTCATTCATTCTTGCCAAGCAGTCAAGACTTATTAAAATCACTTCAGATATAACACACATTTCCTGTTTTCCCTACCGTAAAACACCCCAGAGTGCTAACACCAGATATGACTTTGCATTTATCCACTTATCTTACTGGTGCTGGAACAGCAATGAGAAAGTGAAATTTGTGTTTAAAAATGGACATCAGTAACCACATTTGACCACAGGATAGTGTTCTTACAAATTGCACCATTAAGACTGAACTGCATAAACTTGGTATCGGCCTTTGGTTCAGGTTCTGATCACCGGTTTAGTGGTCCAGACGTCACACGTCTGCGAAGCTGATCTCACAAGAGCAGCTGGTGATTAAATCGCATGTTACACATTTTAACTGTGGTTCCTTTTCTGTGGTTTAGGATTTTACAACAACTGATCAGTAATGATGAACTTTGGATTTATCATCTGATTCCTTCTAGTATTTATTTGTAAAGCATTTCAAACACAACCCTGTCGACCAAATTGCTTCACATGCAGATAGAAACATACAGACATAATTAAAAACAGTTCCAGCATGGATACTATATTAAATCATACAAAAACATTGTAAAACTGCTTAAAGACAGGAATAGAAAAGAATAATCAGTCAGTGTTCAGAGCCAGTGAACAATAGTGAGTCTTGAGGAGCGACTTAAAAACGACCAGAGATGTCTGTCTGATATTGCCTGGAAGCTGGTTCCAAAGTCCAGGCGCAGCAGCGAAGGACCCGCCTCCTCTCAGCTTCAGCCTTGTTCTTCAACCACCAACTGCTGCTGGTCAGCCGACCCCAGCTGGTGAGTTGGCTCATACGGCACCGGCGTGGCCGCTAGATCGGAAGGTGCCAGTCCATTCAACGGTTTTTATGCCAACACCAGTATTTTAAAATGAACTCTAAAAGCAACTGGGATCCAGTACAGAGGAGCCAACGCCGGGGTGACATGCTCATGCCCGCGAGTGCCCGTTAGCCAATGATCCGCAGCGTTTTGGACTAACTGAAGTCTAATGAGACAACCCTGACTCACCCTGACATACAGACGGTTACAGTAGCCAA